CTATAATAACAATCAATTAAAAAAAATAATACAAGATAACTGCAACATGAAAGTACTCAAAGCAAAAAACTCAAGGGGCACAACAAAAATTATAGAAATAAAAAATGAGAAAAACGTCACCGTCCGAGACAGAAAGGAAATAAGCGAGACCATTGAAAAATTCTACACTAAATTATACTCGGTAAATACACAACCACAACAACGACGTACTGAACGAACAATAATTAACACCGGCTCAGAAGAAATACCGGACATAACTGACTATGAAATAAGAATGGCCCTAAATCAACTAAAAACGAATAAATGTCCGGGAGAGGATAAGATTACAGTTGAAATGTTGAAAATGGGTGGCAGAAAAATGGAACAGGTATTAAATATTTTATTTAATAAAGTAATTGATGAAGTAAAGATTCCTCAAGAATGGTACAACTCCGAAGTCATTTTACTATTCAAGAAAGGAGACAAAGCAAACATCGAGAATTATCGACCAACATCCTTGCTATCACATCTGTATAAATTACTAACTATAATCATAACCAACCGCCTAACACATATGCTCGATTTCTATCAACCTATCGAGCAGGCTTGATTCAGAAAACATTTTAATACCATAGACCACTTGCACACCGTAAGAACACTGATAGAAAAATGCACCGAGTATAATGTTCCAATTCATATGGCGTTCGTCGATTTCCATAAAGCATTCGATTCCATCGAATTATGGGCAGTGCTTGAATCTCTAGAAAATGCACGCATAGATTCAAGATACACTAACATAATTAAAAACATATATAAAAATGCCACCATGCAGATAAAGCTGGACGAAACCACAAAAACTAATCCCATAAGACTACAACGGGGAGTAAGACAAGGAGACACCATATGTCCCAAACTATTTACCCTTGCTCTAGAAGATATTTTTAAGAAACTGGAATGGAACAATAAGGGTATCAACGTCGACGGATCATACTTAAAACACTTGAGATTCGCAGATGACATAGTTTTAATAGCCGATAATATCCAAGAACTAAATGATATGTTACAACAATTAAATGAAGTTTCAGGAGCGGTAGGCTTAAAAATAAACTACAGCAAAACAAAAATACAAAATCATATCATAGAAAATGTTGAACATTATGTATATCTAGGTCATGTTATCAAACTAGGAAAACCAAATCAAGAACTGAAATTAAAAGAAGAACATAACTGGTATGGGGCGCTTTCGGCAAACTACCACATATCTTGAAAACACCTTAATTCCTATAACCTTAAAGAAAAAGGTGTATAACATATGCATACTACCAGTTTTTAACTACGGCTTGAAGACAGTAGCCCTTACCAATAAACCTGCTAAATAATTAGAAACAACGCAAAGAGCAATGGAACGAATCATGCTTGGAATATCACTAAGAGACATAAGAGACAAGATTAGAAACACCGAGATTAGACGTAGAACGAAGATTAGAGATATTGTAGAAGAAATTTCAAAAACGAAATGACGCTGGGCAGTTCACTTAGCCCGATATAACGACAACATGTGGACACGGAGAATTCTAGAATGGAGAGCAAGGACGACAACAAGAAGCATGGGAAGACCTCAAAAAAGATGGGTAGATGACATAAGAGCAGTGGCAGGCGAACATTCATCATGGTAGCTTCTTACATCATCTTTACAGTTCACCCAATAAAACCGTTGTCGAACCTTTTGCAGAGTCTTCGTAATACAAAAGTGTCCACCTGATGCACCGTCATGCAACTGAGGCAATACTTTCTGACACTTTACTTTTAGGTACAATAGACTGAAGCTTAGATTTTGTACTATCATTGTTCTCAAAGGTTCTATACAGAAGATCATCTTTTAGCACTAGGCAATTCCATTGGCTCCAGTAACACTTGACTTCGGGACTACATGCACTAATGTCTTGCCAAGAAGGTCTTTCACTTCGACGCATCCAATCCAATACTCTGTTTATACATGGATCATCAGCTTGAGCGTCTTGTAGCTGTTGAGGCTGCCATTGATCATTAATGACGGTGGTTCGTCCCACGGAGCAAAGTCTTCTTCTAAATTACGACAGTGATTACAATTTGCACTGCACGGCCGTCTCAAAAGGGCATCAGCATTTAAATAAACTCTTCCAGCCCTGTGTTCGATCTCGTAATGGTTCTAACCATCTTGCCATCTGGCCCTCTGGATTACGGAATTGTAGGAGCCTGCCTTCTTCTGTCAACTTTGTTAATGGCTTGGAGATGTTGGCAAATCCTTTGAAAAAACGTCGGTAATATGTGCATAGGCCAAGAAAACTTCTAATTTCGTGTTTATCTCTTGGTACTGACCAATCCTTAATTGCTACAAGTTTTTGAGGATCAGCTGTTATACCATTACTTGCTACAATATGTCCCAAGTACTTCACTTCTCGTCGAAACAAGTGACATTTCTTCAAACTTAACTTCAAATTCGCTACCCGCAATCGTTAAAAGACTTCTGTCAGATTATTGGTATGTTCATCGAAGGATCTTTCAACTACAATTACATCATCCAAATAAACCAGGCATGTTTCTCATGTTAGACCTCTTAAAACAGCCTCCATTATTCTTTGAAATGTGGCCGGGGTATTTCATAAATCAAAGGGCATAACTTTGAACTGCCAAAGCACTGATCAGCTGGCTCCATGTCTACTTGCCCATATCCACTTTTCAGATCGAATGTGGAGAACCAAGGAGAATCAAAAAGTGTATCCAAAGTATCGTCTATTCTGGGCAAAGGATAACTATCTTTTTAGTTACCGCATTGAGCTGTCGGTAGTCAATACAAAAATGTGTTGAACCGTCTTTCTTCTTTACTAGTACTACTGGTGATGTCCATGGACTGATGGATGGATGGTTTCAACTACCCCTTGTTTGTTCATATCTTTGATGATGTCTTCGACTTCATCTCTTTTCGCAAATGGAAGTCGTCTAGGTTGTTGTCTGATTGGCTGAGCGTCTCCGGTATTAATTTTATTCTTTGCTATGCTTGTTTTTCCATTATCCTTCTTATCAATGGCAAAAACATATTGACATTCTATCAGCATAGACTTCACTTTTTTAGTTCGTTCATCATCAAGATCTTGACATGTTTTAATCATCATCTCAACAAGCTCTTTTGGATACTTAGATTTCGATGATTTTTTATTAGTATTAATAGAACAAATCGAAGCTACAGGAACACACCGTCCGATCAAAGTTCTTTTACTTAACTTAATAGCAGTTCTCTTTAAATTCATAACTCTTACAGGAAGAACATCTAGAATTCTCACCAAAGCTTTTGCCGTTAGGAACTCGGCATTGTTCATATCTTCGACTATCCTTAAACTTACCTCTCGGCAGTAACCATCAGGTCTGGTCATCAAAATTTTCTCACTGTTACCGGGTATCGTTACGTCACAAGTAGTTATTAAGCTGATAACATCTTTTTTGTCTTCATGAAACGGTAACTCTTTCCCACTGATCTCAAGAACTCTTTGACATTCAATACAGCCCCAACTTTCCTTAGTAAATCCATCCCCAATATGAACTCGTCGGAGATCTCTGCAATTAATACTCTATGTTTCACTGTGGTCTGGCCAATAGATACTGACATCTTACATGACACCTTGGTGTCGACCCGTTCTAGTTTTCTGGGTGTTGTATCATTTTCTTGCAATTACGGCAAATGTGACCTACGTCACCACAATTCCAACATCTCGGCTCGTGTCTCTTCGGCATCGTGTTACGTACTACTTTTCGTACCATTTCTTCTAGACGTTTATCGTTTGGTTCGTCGCCTTCTTCAATGGTTCTTACTCGATGGTTTCGTGAAGTTTGACTAGCTGTTTCATGTTCCAAGGCAATAGCTAGCGCTTTATCTATTCTTCATATATCATTCTTCTTTCACTACCGGATCTAAGGCTACTGTATTAACTGGTGGTAGCACTTTTGTATTGGTTATCATGCTCTCTAACTGTTTGATCTTCTCTTCTACTTTATCGAATGTTTTAAAGACGTCTTCAAATTTCTCATTGTTCTGAATACATACTTCGTCGCATCTTCTAGACATATTTTCGAATTTCTCGTCGTTTTGTCTAACTGTTTCTTTAATCATTTGACACGTTATATCGAATCTTTTGGAAACGTTCTCGAATGTATCATCATTTTTTTAGATGATTCTTCAATCATTTGCGAGACGTTTTTAAATTTATTATCATTATTTTTAGAAGTTTCTTCATTTTTCATTAAAACTGCTTCTTCTGCTGATTGAAAATGGAATGTCTCTTTCATACAAAGATCACTACCGACTACGCGAATGATCCCGACGAACAATACTTTTCAAAAGTTCAAACGTCTTTTTCAAAAGTCACTGCTGAATTTGTCTTTTAAATAAATAATTATCCTTATACCGGACATTAACTGTAGCGCTTTTAAATAAAACGAGCGGTTCGAATTTATTTATAAGTTTACAGTTCGGTAATATCTTAACAACTAAAACTTAACTTCTAGAAGGTATGCTTATATATAAAAGTCACTATGTTCTAGAACATTCTGAAGTAGTCCACCTCTAATTCACCTATTTAACGGGTTGGTCTCTCTGGCACTCGAGACATCGCCGGAAACTTCTAGTCGCTTTCGAGATATGCAACCGTTATATGGGCCACGCCGAATGCATGTTCGTAACAATATCATAAAATTATATAAGCATATTTTAGATTTTAAGTTTCAATCTCCTTTTTTGTTGTAGTAATTAATTCTTTATAATTAAAAAATACAATTTTAAATCCTCAAAAAGTAGTTTTAGTGTTTAAATATTTTAAATATGGTTCAAATATTAAAATAAACAATTTGCATCATCTGCATATTTTAAGCATAATCTTGCATTTTTTTAAGGATGCGAATTAAAATTTTTAATTATTAAGATTTTCTTTGCGTTTTTTCCGCTGTTTAGTAATAATAAATAACAGTAATTATAAAACTATAATTTTTAGGATTGTTGTGAAGCTTGCCAGGCCGGTATAGATGCTTCAAGAGCTAAAGACCCTTGTACTGGTTTGGGTCTTGGTGCACCTTACGACGATGCATTTAATCAATGTTGTGAAGATTACTCAAAGGTTACATCTAGTACTGCAAGTACTTTATCTACAAGTACCACCACCACAATGAAATCGTTTATAGATAATTTTGATACTGATTCTGAATGTAAGATTTTCTTTTTGAAATATTTATAATGAAATAGAAACAATAAGTGAGGTATTCATTAACAAAGATTCATAAAAGGCTTAGTTTATTTATTTGTAAATAAATTGATTTAAGAAATCCATATTTAATTAAAACATTATATTAAATATGGATTTTTCAAATTTTATGAATCCACTTCCTGCTTTTTGTATGTCCGCTTTTATATCTGATGTTTGATTATTACTTTCAAGGATTTTAAGTCAAGGTCTACGTATGTGTTCGTCTGACTTACTTATATTCTCCTGGACCTGGATGGTCATACACCTTCCATTCTTTACAGCAAGCGAAGCATACGTCTGCGTTCCCACTGTACATTTGCAAGGCTTACTATCTTTCATTCTGGTACCCTCAAAGGTTACAACGGTAGCACTCGTCTTTGTAGATATAAGCGACCGTTTTAGCCTCTGAAAACGCCTGTTCAACACTCTTATCTTTGCGATAGTCTCAACTTTGGTGTTAATGTTGACATTAGTCAACTTCAACACCTCCGCAATTGTCTTCTTGACATGAATCCATTTTCCCATCGAGTTCAGACTTATCACTTACTTCCTTTTCTTTCGTACCTGTAGAATCATAATAATTATCATCAAATTTTCAATACATTTAAAAAAAATTGATTTTGAAGGTATTTCACCTTAGCCATTTTTTGGCTATGTTTTCAATAGTAATAATTAATACCTCAGGAACCAAACCTTTGCGGTAAAAAGAATGGCATATTCAATCTTAGCGTCATCGACGTTTTTTATGAACAAAATTGCATTTATACCGAAATCTATTTACATTTTAATTGTAGCGATTGAAAATATCTGTGATTCCGATGTGTGTGCTCAGAAATGTGAACCAGTTGGAGATTCGTATAAATGTGATTGCTTTAAAGGCTTTATTTTAATGGAAGACGGTGTATCCTGTAAACCTGAGAAGCGGGTTCTTAAAAAAGGAGGAAGGTACGTCTAAATTTAATACACTTTTTGGTTTTTAACTAGTCTTTCGTAGATGTGAACTATTTAACCCCTGTGACCACGATTGTACAGATACAGGTACAGCAATCAAATGCTCATGTAGGGAAGGATATCAGTTATCAGAAGATAATAGGACTTGTAAAGGTAAGATATTCTGTAAATTTATTTTTAAAGAATAAGATAAGAATAAGAAACAACAAAGATATTAGAGATGGATCAATCTTAATAAAAAAAAAACAAAGAAAAAATAAATGACATCCTTTAATCCTACTAATTATTAAAATCATATGTTAGTTACCATTTATAACCTCCTTTATATCAAATAATGCCCATAATAAAAAAAGACTAATAGAAAGACTGATAAAGATGTAACTTGTAACGAAAGTAGACTTCTCTGAACTTTAACAAAGTTTTTTTTCGAATTCTACATGAAATTCTATATAAAGTTTGTGCACAATATCCTATACCTACCAAAAATGAAGTATTTTCGAGATATTTCGATTAATAATCTGTTTATGACATATATGGCAGATCTGTCTTTTCTGAACCGATACTGGCGTTCTGACAGGACTCTTTTTTTCTATTTCTTTTTCCTTTTTTGAGCCTTGACTTTGTGGAGATTTGGAATAGCTTGTCTAGTGTATTAAGCAAGTTTATTGGCCTAAAAGCACCCGGTTCTTTCATTTTTTTTTCAGATTTAAGGACGAGCATAAGGTTTGTCACTTTCCATACCGTGGGGAATTTATGTCTTCGGAGGAGGTCTTCCATTATGTTTTTCATCCATTCAGCCTGTTCGTTCACCCATTCATTATTTCCGGCCCAATTTTGTCATTATCTCTTCCATTGTGAAGCCGTTTGTTGGTGCCGGTGTAGGTATTATTTGGAAGGTTTCCTCCGCTCTTTGCGAAAACAGTGCTTCCGCTAGTTTTCTCCTGTGGCTGTCCTTTATTTTAAAAAAGGCGTAAGTCCTTTTTGTTTAAAAAGTTCTCTTGTAACAATTTATTTCTCTAGTTGGTTCTTTCGGATAAGTGTTGATTGACATCTAGATAGAATAGTTATTAACATTTATTAAAAATAGCAGCTTTCAGCTAGAAAATTTTAGGCTTCTTAGCATTTGTCATAACTCTTTCTTATTTCATTAATGTGTTTATTAAATACATAATTGTAAATACTATTTGTAGATATTGATGAATGTGCACTAAATATCCACGATTGTACATCAATTGATGACTGCATAAATGAAATAGGATCTTACTCTTGCTATGACCCAATCTTGGATAACGAAACTATAGAATATGAAAATAAATGTCCAAATGGATATCAATACAATTTTGAAAAACAACTTTGTGATGGTAAGTGACTTTTAATAATTATATAATAATAATTATATGATAATTAAAAATATATAATAATATATTTATTAACATATATTTTCTTTATAGATATAGACGAATGTCAAATTAAATTAATATGTCTACCTCCAAAAGTCTGTAAAAACACCATAGGATCCTATACATGTGAAGTGGAAGAAGACACACCACTTTGTCCACCAGGTTTTCACTATAAGGCTGCTACAGAAGCTTGTGCAGGTAATATAAATAAATAATCATCAATTTCATGATACCATTTAAGTATGTGTTATTAATTTCCAAATATTTATTTTGTTAAATAGATATTGATGAATGTCTAACGGGCGAAAACGATTGTAATAAAGAATCTCAGTTTTGTTTAAATACAAAAGGAAATTACACTTGTGTAGATAAAGCTTCTAGAAATACGTGTCCTCCTGGTTTTAAAATGAATACTGTAGTTCAACAATGTGAAGATATAAATGAGTGTGAAGAGGAAGAAAATTTATGTGCTCAGAACGAGAAATGTGTCAACGAACCTGGAGGTCATACATGCGTTCCGCAAGACAACTCGGGCTCTATTCCTACTTCTAAAGTTATACCAACAACACGTCCAACAACTACAACTTCCACTACCCAGTCTACTTCCACAACGCAAAAAGTTATATGCCCTACAGGATACAGTTATGTTCAAGAAACACACCTATGTGCAGGTAGGTTTTACTTATTTTTTTTTATCTTCGAGGTTGATTAAAAAAATATGTTGCAGACATTAATGAGTGTCAGGTGGGACTACACAATTGTAAAGTAGCAGAAAGATGTGATAATACGATCGGATCTTTTCACTGTTCCCGTATATTTGGATGTGGAACAGGATATACCTTAAATTCTGCCAATGGTCTTTGCGAAGATGATGATGAGTGTATATTAGGTACGCACAATTGCCGGAAATTGGGACCAAATTTCAAGTGCCGAAACACTTTTGGATCTTACAGGTGTGAACCCACAAGGCCATACTACCAGAACCCTTCTCCTTTAGATAAAATGAGGCCATTGGCTCCTTATCAACCCAATATTCCACCTAGTACCAATCCAACAACTACTGTAAATGCCGCTGCACATACTCCTGACGATAAGAATCCTACTTACGAACTACCATTTATCTCATCAAAATACTATACAGTACAAACAACACCTAGTACAAAATTTACTGAACAGTCGAAACCTTCGTATGCTCAAGATCCACGGGCCTTACCCGGAAGCATTACTCCTTTGGATAGACCCCGATCTAATATTACTCAAAATTCTGGAACTATATTTCCTATTGGTAGGTTTACTACCCTTAGTACATCTACAGTTAACACTCCTAGATCTACATATCCTTCACCAAAAATATACACCGCGAATACCGAAGATGATGGTACTTTGCCTTATTATTCTCCCAGACTCACTAGTCCTACAACCAGTCCTAGCACAACCACTACCACTGTCACTTATGGATACCCCAACTGGCCTACTCGTGAAAATCCTTACTATCCTATAATAAGTGGACAACAAAAGAAATGCTTGCCAGGGTATAGAATGAATTATAGAGGTCAATGTGAAGGTAAGTCAGATATTACAACTAATTTATTTAGAGGCTGTTAGTAGATAATACAATGGCACTTACGTCTCACGTTAATTGTGATAACAAGAATATTCCTATAGACCAGAGAAATTACCAAAAAAAAAGCTTTTTTCATGACACTCTTTGATATAGGTATCTAATAACTGCTTTTGGTAACTTTCGTGATAAAAATATGTAATAAACAAAATATGCAAAAGATTAAACATCATTTTTTACTTATACAGAATATAAGATCGCTAGTTGGTTTTAAATACTGCTAATAAGGTGAAGACTGGTAATTTATAAGAAAAAATGATACAATTTTAGTGAAACAACATAAAATATCCACTAAAACGAGACTTTGTAAAGTGTTTTTTTTTATTTGTTGATTAATCATTGCAAAAATAGATTCAAAAGTCGATTTTTTGAAAAGTATCAATAGCTTTTTTTGAGAGCGGTTCTGGCAATCGTACTAGTTGAACGTGTGTAGTGTCGCTCCGAAATTAAATTCCAATTTTGAGTGGTTTCGAATGCAATCTGCATACAAAATAGTGCAAAGTGAAATTAAAGAGGACCTTTATGTAAGTAAATAATCAGTTATCTGTATTAGTTCAAATATACAATTGAAACTAACTATTAATTTATCAATAAATTAATAGTTAGTTTCAATTGTACTGCGTATAAAAGTGTGACTTGTGACGATTGAACTTTTCACATTTTCCACTAGCACATGTTTAACAGTAGGGGGTGAACCGCACTCTTGACAAATTTGGCGTTCTTCTTTCTTAAACAAATGTTCCTGAGAAAACTGGGTACGTTCAAGTCGTAAGCGAGAAATAATTATTATTTGCTTTCGTCTGGATACCTCGGGTGGTTACCATGGTTCAATCTTATTTTTTATCTTCTACAGCTTTGATGGTGTGGATTTATATTTTCTGTTCCAGTTCTCGAATAGGTGCTTTATGAAGTAGCTTTTTAGATTCATAATTATAGATTGAGGTGATATAGGGATACTGTTGTCGATAATGTTTATAAACAAAGCTCCGGAGAATTTTTGAAAAAAAAGTTAACTAGGGTTTTAATTGGCTTGAGGGATTGTTTTTTTTTTAATACGTGTAAAAATGACAACATTTCGAATAAAAAAATTAATGTTCTACATGTTGATGCATCTGAATTAGTTTAAATGTTTAAAAAGTTAAAATCACAGTACTTTTGCAAATCTATTTTGCAATATTTAACATAAACTTTCAGTCCTTAACTAATTTGATTTGATAATATACGCCTTTCTCTTCAATTTGATGCTTTCAGAATTCATGTAGACCCAATAGTTTACGCATAATAATGTTGTAGATAAAAGCTTTCTGATAAACAATTTAAATTTTGCAATAACTATTATGTAAAACTTCTTGAAATTTTTATAGCTGAATATTTGTGATATTGTCCCCATTCTCAAGTTTATGTGCATTTTTAGAAACGTTATCAATATCAAAAAATCAACTTTTGAAGCTATTCTATATTAAGTATCATATTACCGCCAAATAACTTTACAAACTCTATTTTAATGATTTTCTATGTTTTTTAAGTAAATTTGGGTCACTTTTCCTTATAATTTACTGGTCTTGCCGGTATTTAAAATCAAATAATGATCTTACATTCTTTAATATTTCATTTATGACATATTGTTATCATCTTTATCAAAAGCTGTTGTGAGATACTTGTATTAAAGAGTGTCTTGGAAAAATCGCTACTTCCCTGGCCTACTAGTATAAACGCTGTGGTACTAGACATTTTTAATGGGTCATTTGACCCAACACGAATCACATATAAATCAATACTAATAACAACTTTAGAAACTATGCCGCCAATTCTTATCGGTACACAAAGCATGTGGGTTCAAATTAAGGGTTACGTCATTGGCTTCTCACTTTTGTCCCAGCCAAAATGTACGGCGTTGCAAAAAAATTAATCTATACACCGATTACGCCGGAACAATATATAATCCATCTGTTCCATGACGAGATGGAAAATGAACAAGATATAGGTGAAGAAGAACAATACCTACAAATTTTACCCTCAGAAGTAAAGCATGCCCTCCAGATTGCAAAACAAGGAAAAGCACCGGGTCCTGATAAAATTCCAGTTGAACTTTTAAAAGCCTTAGATGACGATAATATAAAGAAACTCACCCGAATTTTCAACCACATATATGTAGAGGGGAACATACGGGAGGAATGGCTTAAATCGATATTTTTACCCCTACCAAAAAACAACAATCCCACCCTTGCCACCCTTTAAAGATTCTCTTGAAAATTGTTCAAAACCGAATTTATAAAAAATGTCAGGAGCAGATAGATCAAACGCAGTTTGATTACAGAGGAGGCATGGGTACAAGAGAGGCATTATTTGCGTTGACGGCACTCTTGCAGAAATGTCAGGAATATAACAAGAGTGCATATATGTATGCTTCATAGACTTTAGGAAGGCATTTGACCGAGTGCAGCATATGAAGTTAATAGATGAACTAAAAAACTAATCAATTTAGACAAAAAAGACATTGAGTTTATTAAGGCTATATACAAGAACCAGAAAGCAGTAGTAAAGGTAAACGATATAGAAACAAATAATATACCGATTGCAAGAGGGGTCCGGCAAGGTGCGTCTTGTCTCCGACGCTTTTCAACGTGTACTCACAGGTTATATTCAGAGAAGTCTTATGGGAAAAAAAGAGGAAATAAGAATTGGTGGAGAAATCGTAAACAGCATGAGATTTAATCGTAATTATGGCTGAGAGTATAGAAAAACTACAAACTTTACTAGATGTAATAAATAGTGAATGCATTCAAATGTGATTTAACATCAACACAGATAAGACCAAATTTATGATAGTATCAAGGAGTCCAATAAATAATTAACAACTTACCCTTGGTGGAAAACAAATAGAGAGAGTGACAAAATATAAATATCTGGGAGCTTAGATCAACACAGAATTAGATCCAGACCAAGAGATCAGAGTACGAATAGAAATGGCAAATGCAGCGTTCTTAAAATTCAAGCAATTATTCTGTGACAAAAATCTGAATTCTGCGCTGAGACTGAAGTTTGTTGAACGTTACGTCTGGTCCCAACTATTGTACGGGGTAGAAACATGGACATTAAAAGCGTAAATAGTTGAGAAGCTTGAAGCCTTTGAACTTTGGATATATCGGAGAATGTTGAGAATTCCATGGACTGCCAGGGTCACTAATGAGAAAGTGCTGAGAAGGATGGGTCGAGACAAAAAATTGTTGAGAACAATAAAAGTACGCAAGACTGCATACCTTGGACTCATACTGAAGAATACTAAATATAGTCTTGTGCAGGTCATAATGCAGGTAGAGTCGATGGCAAAAGGGAATAGATAGAAAAAGGAAGTCATGGCTGCAAAATATTCGAGACTGGACAAACATGACTGTAGATGAATTATTCCACGTTGCAAACGACAGATAAACTTTTAGAAATGTGGTCGTTAACCTCCGTTAATGGGGACGGCATAGGAAGAAGAAGATACACCGATTCGAAACTTTGCGTATGAATGCCTTACTGTATCAAATTACCGAAAACCAAAAAAATTTTTTCCGAAAATAAAAAATTTTTACTGCTCCTGGTACCATTATTTTTCTACGGCATTAGGTAACAGGTCATTATTTCTGTATTACCTACCTAAGTTATAAATGCTGTATAAAAATGTTTGGCAAAAAAAACTTACCGCCTTGAGTGGTAAGTTTATCTTACCTGTGTAGCTATCTGTACCGATAAAAATTGACGTTGTTTTATATGTGATTCATGCTGGCTCAAATGACCCATTAAAAATCTCCCATAAGCTTGTGACTATACGATATTGATATTATTTTAAAGTCTGTAAAATATTTTCAGATATTGACGAATGCGAAAGTAACCCATGTGGACGGTTTGAAAAATGTATAAATTACAAAGGTCGATATGATTGTATTCCTCCAATTCAATGCAAGCTGGGTTACGAGCTGAATGAATCTGGAGACCAATGCATAGGTAATTATTTTAATAGGACTAACTGCATATATTTAGCATATTGTATTATTGTGATAAATTGCAGATGTCAATGAATGTGCCAGAGGTATTCACAAATGTTTATCAACACAAATCTGTAAAAACTATGTCGGCTATTATACCTGTGAATGTCCACCAGGTCACCATCTGGACAAAATTACAAATCAATGTGAAGATCTTGACGAATGTAAAATGTTTAGAGTAAGTTAAATTTGATTTATTTTAAAAACTAAAGAGAAATAAATATTATTTCTTTAAACTTTAGCCTTGTCGAGTTTCATCTTCTACGTGCATAAACTTAAAGGGATCATTCAGGTGTGACTGCAAGGAGGGCTTCCAACGCAAATCACCCAGCGAATGTGAAGATATAAATGAATGTGTCCGAGATCCTGGATTGTGTGAACATAACTGTGTAAATATTTGGGGATCCTATAGATGCAGCTGCAACCAAGGCTTCACTCTGAATACAGATAACAGGTAAATAAGAATTAAAAAAAAAGAATTTACATTATTTTATTCAATTTTCATTACTGTAATAGGTACATTGGTTAGTTATCAGTATGGTAGTGTCTGGGGTTCGGGAGACTAAGACCTCGGAAGCCCTGAAGAAGAGGTCGAAAACTCGGCACAATGATAATCGACGCGGTTCAACCCAGAAGATTGTTGAGTTAAATATTAGTTCTTGTAATAGTACAGAAATAGTACAGAAATACAATTAAAATAAGAAAATTGCAGTATCTGGGTCATGTCATGAGAGGTGAGAGATATGAGTTGCTGCAGATCATTATACAGGGAAAGATACTGGGCAGAAGAAGCATAGGCCGACGACGTGTATCCTGGCTAAACAATTTGAGGCAGTGGTACAATTGTAACTCTGTTGAGCTGTTTAGAGCAGCAGTGTCAAAGGTGAAGATAGCCGTGATGATAGCCAACCTTCTTAAAGGAGACGGCACTTAAAGAAGAAGAATAGTACAGACATACATCAATCTCCCACTTAATCTCAACCCAAAGATTAAAACATTTCAATTAAAGACAAACAATTAAAACAATTAAAGACAACATTTCAAATGAACAACACGGAGTTTATGAAATTCCTTCTGCAGACTGCCCCGATCCTATATGTTCTTCTTGCATTACCTTGTCCGACTATCGAACGTTGGCGATCATATTGGCAATAATAACTATTTTTACGGCGGCTCTAAATATATTAGCGGTGGTCTCTGGATACCATTCTCGGAGATTTCGGAGCCAGGATGTTCTTCTTTGGCCTGGGCCTCTCCTTCCGGCGATCATACCCTATATTATGTGGTGTAGAAATTTATACCTCTCTGGATGTCTCATTGCACGAGCGAAATATTGTAACTTTCGAATTTTTATCGTTTTTGTAATTTCTGTGCTCTTTTTTCATTCGATGTAAAACTATATCATTTCTTATTCGATCAACCAAACTTATCTGCAATACTCTTCAATAAATCTACATCTCAAAGGCCTCCAACTTTTTCATTAATGTCTCTGTAAGGGTCCAGCTCTCCATACCATACCATCAATGTGGAGAATATGTAGCAGCGTATTAATCTGATTTTAAGGTTTAACGTAATATTTCTATTAATTAGAACTTTCTTTAATTTATAGAAGGTGGCTCTGACGTTTTCAATGCGTATTCTTATTTCTTTATTTATATCCAAGTCATCGTTACCGTTTGCGCCCAAATAGGTAATATTGTGGACTCTTTCTAACTCTATTTCATACGCTCTGATGTTCGGCCAGTAAATGCTAAATCTATACAAGAATCTCTAGAGAAACTGCACTTGTGGGTTTTAAAGTGAGATTATGTATTTGCAAAAGAGAGATATACTTACTATTTGTCAATTTGAGACAATTTGGTAAACAGAAACTAAAATGGAGTATAGAAAATCATGAATAAAATAGATATAACTATAGACCTGATTAATAATACTGGAATTGTGAAAGAAAAATACTGTCTATATGTATACCAATACTCAGTTAGTGATCTGTGGCGGTATGGAAGAAAACTTCGGCCCTTGATAATGTCTGACATAACCTCAGACAAAACTTCATGAAGGACTAATTTCAGACCATGGCATATAAACCATGATCATGAGTTATATTATTTATTTGAGTCTTTATAAAGTTTTCTTAATTACGGGGCAACATAATACATGTTTGATAACTTTGTTGTTATATGTATGTCTTTTATTTAATACTTTATTATTGACTATTTAATTTCAGAAGTAAAATTTTTGAAAATTAATAAAAACAAAATGATTTTAGAACCTGTACCGATATTGATGAATGTGAAAGATTTAAAGATAGAAGACTATGTATAGGCAGTTGCAAAAATGTACCTGGTAGCTACCGATGCGAATGTCCCCCAGGCTATAAACTAGGGAGTGATGGACGCGTTTGTATAGGTTAGTATTTACCAAAAAGAACACACTTTTTATCTTTGTTGGACTTTAATAATTTATACGAAAGTATTGTAGATTGTGGATTATGTAAGGTAGAACTAACTATTAAGATTCTCTGTATCTGGCTTTAGCAATGTATTTTGTGTTTAACCTAATTAGGTAATCTCCAGAGTGTAGAGCCAGCTTCTGAAGAAATTTATTCTAAACACATAAAAAATGTCTAAGGCAGAGAAAGATTTTTTTCATATACATATACATCAACTTTATATGTACATCAATTTTAATTTGATTTTAAAAAGGGGCATACCGTTGTAATGTCTGATTATTCAGCAATGAATTCACTTAATGTCAGAGTAATATGATTTCCGAAGGTGAAATAATCAAACAAAAGTTAAGAATTGCACTAGATATGTTTAATAATCTGTTTCGGGTAGCAGCATTAATTACAGCTTGACACCGCCTTGGCATACTTAAAATTAAATTATCAATTGCGTTTTGAGGTAATAGCATCCCTTCCTGTGTAAGTGTGCGTTCATAACGAGGCGCCGACCATCGATCAGACTATAGGATGGTATAATATTATCGATTTTAGATCAAATAAATACATTATTTTAAATGCGAGCGTTTACTGTCAGTGCTGTGCTCTGGGCGAGGATACGATGCGATGGTCTCCGTAATAAACGCAACCTAAGAAGAACTGGAAGACCTTGTCTAATAGGAACATTGTGCAGATCAGGAGCAATCCACCTCTGAAGCATATCCCATACATATTCGATGGGATTAAGATCTTGCGATTGTGCTGACCACGGTAAAAATGGAGTATCTTTATTTTGAAACCAATATGTTACTGTTGTTGCAGTATGTTGCCTTGTATTATTCTGCATTCTAAAAGCCGTATGACACTATGCATGTTCTTGTATCATTTTTTATATCGTTTCTGATAACAAAAAATGGATAGTGTCATATAAGCGTATAGTTCTTATATTAGAAACGATACAAGAATTTGTGTCCACTGCAGTTTCTTGTACAAGAAATGCGTCAATTTGTGCGCAAAAACGTAAAACTTCTGTGATAATGGCGGCTGGAGGAGAACTTTGATATATAATTAGACCAAGCAGACATCAGAGAAAAGTGTCCACCAACACTAATCAAGATTTGAATAGCAGTAGTAAAATCCAAAAAACAATAAATCGCAGGGTTTGGATCAAATAGTATCGGAACTACTGAAAGTAGGAGATGTATTACTAAAAACAATACATAACGGCTCTAAAAATTCGTGATGAGTTTAAAGATCTTATATCTTCAAATAAGAGAGTAGAATTTCAAGAGCAGGCCATTTAAACATAATTTGTAAAAAAAAACAAATAAATTATTACAACCAAATTATTTATTATTTCTGTCTTCCAATACAGCCTGTTGACTATTTTCAAAAATTGTGGTTTCCAATTTAATTTTAATATTGGGACATTTTATTTCTTTCATTTTTGCACCACAGTATTTTAAAAAATAATCAGTAGCATCTGGCTTGGGGTCCTTATGTACTGCAGTTATATTTTTATAGGTGTCAAAATTTCGACCAATCATGTGCCGAATCACATACAATTTCCGGTAAAAGAACTTGCATAGTGCCATACAGAGCACAAATGTACGTGCAAGAAACGATACAAGAATATATAAATATTTTTCTATATCAGAAACTATATAAGAAAATGCATGTGTCATACGGCCTTAACACAACCTGCAGCAGTTGCAAATGGTAGGACAATAAATTCTAAGATACAATCAATCCCTTGATCTTCTTCTGCTTCTTAGCCTTCTATCGTCCATGTTTGGACATAGGCCTCTCCCAACTCCTTCCATTGGTCTCTATCCTGAGCAACATATTTCCAATTTGTTCCGGCTAATCTTTTAATGTCATCAATCCATCTCATCTGTGGTCTTTCTCTTGGTCGTTTACTTTCGTAAGGTCTCCAATGTTGTATTGTAGTATTCCAACGTTGTCTAGCAGTGTGGCCCGCGAAGCTCCATTTAAGTTTGGCAATTTTTGTTGTTATGTCCTCGACTTTTGGTTTTGATCTTACCCAGTCGTTCCTCTTTTTACCTGACAGTCGTATACTTAACATTGCTCTTTCCATTGTTCTTTCTGTTGTGGCTAGTTTATTCATGTTTGCATTGGTTAGGGTCCATAGGGTTTGGCATCCATATGTCATGATAGGAAGGATGCATTGGTTGAACACTTTGCCCCTCAAGTATTGGGGTATTTTGCGGTTTTTAACTATCCAACAAAGGTTTCCAAAACCTGCCCATGCTAGTCTTGTTCTTCTAGTAATTTCCGCACTTTGGTTCTCTTTGTTAAGTTTCAGGATTTGGCCTAAGTAGATATATTCCTGAACTTGTTCTATTTCACTGCCATTTATAGTTATACGTCTGGGGTCATCTATGTTTGTCATAATTTTTGTTTTTTTCATATTCATTTTTAGGCCGACGTATTGGGAGCTGCCTGCTAGTTCTACCATCATAATTTGCAGTTCCTCGAATGTGCTCGCTATAATCACTATGTCGTCAGCGAATCTGAGGTGGTTTAACTTGTTGCCATTAACGTTAATGCCATAGGTTGACCAATTTGTAGTTTTGAAGTCGTCTTCTAGCGCTAGGTTGAAAGCTTTGACGATATTACGTCTCCTTGTCGCACTCCCATCTTAATGGGGATGGCATTTGTATTTTCTTCTAGATGTACTATCATAGTTGTATTTTCATATATATTGTTATATTTATTTATATAGTTCGAATTTATATGTCTTTATTCTAATTTATTGTCTATAATCTAATTTATTAAAACTCACGATAGCTAATTACTAATTTATTTACTTTAACTTTACAAATGTATTTATTTCACGTTTCGTACAAGTAAACCGCGTTTACCGATCTTCTTATGACTGGTTCCTCAATGAAAGTATTCCCTTATTTATATAATTCCAAGCCGGTAAACAGAAAGGTGTAGAACATACCATGCTGTTCTCGATGTAGACACAGCGGCGACTGGTCTCAAAACATGTTTTTTTTTTATCGGCTTGTCGCCCCCAGAACATTCGATTCAGGTAGATTTTTGACCTAGAAATTACGAGAATCAATAAAAGAATTAGTCATAAAATATTTACAGTTCTATATGCCATAACATTTAAAATCGTAACATTGCCCCCCTCTTAAAAGATGGTTCCTCCTGGAACCTTGTCGGGACTGGAACTGGAACGACATGCTGATATCGGCAACTGGACCCTCTTTTACAACTTCCAGTTGTATAGAAATGACAAGGGACGGTTTTCTCTCCGCACCAGTAACTATGCGGATTGCAACAGACTAACACCTGGACTTCGGTGTCTTTAAAGATTTCCTCCACCATGTTTCGTATAACCCTCCAATCTAATTGGCGGCACTCCAACTTTGGCATGGCTAACTTTTGCACCTCGGACTCTAGTACGTGCTCTCTCAACTGAAGTAAGGCTTCCCATACATCTCGGTAGGTAGGTTGGTCACGGGCAGTGTCTTTTGTTACCAGGTAGAAAAGGTAACGTGATGCATCTTGAAGTTTCAAGGTTTTACCAGGAGCTGGCACTTGGCATTGAAGTTCTGCAACTCGACCAAACTTCCTTCGAAAGACGGATGCCAACCCTGGTGCATCTTTGATACTGGCCGGGATGGTAAGGGCCAGTGAGTAGTCATCGGGAAGCGCGAGTAGATCTTGCCTTTCTTCAGTGGTAACACCATGTCTTGCTTTACCGGTACCTCCATAGGCACCCATGAATTCCTCAAACGTGAGGTCAGACACATCTTGGACTTGGTTTACTTCCACTTCTTCATCTACGTCGTGGTCACCCTCGAAAGACGCCAACCGGTTATGGTGTACTATCATCGGCTTTCCTCTCGGAATCTTGCTTATTCGGTAAATAACATCATTGATCTTCTCCATAATGAGGTATGGACCTTCCCAAAACTGCTGCAATTTGGGAGAACAACCTTTTCTCTTTTTGGGGTTATAAAGCCAGACTTTATCGTTCTTCTTAAAACACCCCTTTTCGGCTTGTGTATCGTACCGTTTCTTCATTCGGTCACTAGCGATTTGGAGATGGGAACGGACCAACTCGTGTACATCGTCCATTCTTCTTCGTAATTCGATCACATAATCTTCACCTGCTACATCTTCTCCAGGTCGACACCCAAACTCTAGATCACAAGGTAGTCGCATCTCGCGTCCGAATAGGACTCTGGCTGGTGTCTGGCCTGTTGATTCATTAACAGCAGATCTGTAGGCCATTGTGAAGAACGGAAGATATTGGTCCCAGTCTCGCTGATGATCGGACACCATCTTTGTCAAATACTTGCCAACTGTTCTATTCATTCGTTCTACCATACCATCCGATTGCGGATGATAAGCCGTAGTTCTTGTTTTCTTCATACCTAGTCTATCACATATTCCTTGGAATAAATCGCTTTCGAAGTTCCTGCCTTGGTCACTATGGATCTCCAAAGGCACTCCAAATCGGCTGATATATTCTTGGATCAACTTATCTGCAACGGTGGCGGCCTTCTGGTCTGGAAGTGCGTAAATCTCGACCCACTTAGTGAAGTAATCCATTACTACCAACATGTACTTGCCTCCATTATCACTTTCTGGAAATGGCCCAGCAATATCCAAAGCTATTCTTTCAAACGGGCTTCCAACATTATATTGTCTCATAGGAGCTCTCCTTTTTCGATAAGGCCCGTTACTCGTAGCACAAATAGTACATTTCTTACACCAGTCTTTTACATCGTCGGAACTGTTCATCCAATAAAACCGTTCCCGAATTCGCTGAAGGGTCTTTTTCACACCAAAATGCCCTCCTGATGGACTGTCGTGTAACTGACGAAGTACTTCGGCTATTCTGCTCTTTGGAATCACCAACTGTCTTCTCTTCTCTGAACCGTCATCATTTTCCAGGACTCGTTTGAGCAAGCCATCTTCC